TCAATCCAATAAACTCTATGAATGGAACAAAAATGGATAAAGTGAACAAGAAATTCTTAATAAAATTAGTCACCTTTCTATGGTAGCCAATAGCTACATTTCAAATCCTGATCTCACTGAACCAGAATTAGTTGAAATAATCACCTCTGGATTTACAGGAGTATTAAGTAATTGGTGGACTAACTACCTCACCCAAGAATCAAGAGATGGTATCAAATATGTTGTTGTTCTTGATGATGAAGGCATACCAGTTTTCAATGAAAGAATTGGTAGAGCTAAAGATGATGGAATTAATACCCTCATCTTTACCATAATCAAACATTTTGTTGGCACACCCAATAACATTGAAGCTAGAGTTCATGACCAGTTCAGTAACATCAGGTGCCCAACACTTAGTAATTTCAGATGGTACAAAAATGTATTCATCTCTAGAGTCATGCTTAGGCCAGACTATAATAAATCTTTCTTGAAAGGGATCTAATGTAGGGGTGACTGATGCATGTGAGGATGCAGGGGAACTACTTTCACTGGCGACTTGTTGAAAAAGCTTTTGTGCTAGCTCAATGAGGGCAGTAGACTTCTTCTTAGATTGCTTGCTGGAGTCCTTAGAGGATGACTGCTTCTGCTTGGGCTCTTCTATAGTGGATTTCTTGAGCTCTTCTGGAGTAGAAATCCTGAGAGAAGACATAACCTGCTTGACTGGAGTTGCAGGGCTTAAGGTTGCTGGAAAATTGTCTGACCAAGTGATTTCGTGGTTACACCGTTTGTATATGTTGTGAATGGATACAATAAGTATACAAAGGGTAAATCAAGGATAACATCACCAGTCATATCTTGTACTAGAATAAATGATTTAAAACATACATTATTTTGACAGATTTGCACACTTGGTAGTTTGTATTTAACATTCATTTTGCTATCATTTGCTGAACTAAGTCTTTCAATGATTTTTTAATAATACTTAGTTGGGATAATGCCTTCCTGGATACAGTTTACGTCTGCACTAGTATCAATTAAGGCAATGGTTTCAAATTCAAAATCATTATCAATGATAATTTTAACTTTAGAATGTCATTTTTAGAAATTAATTTTATTAACTCGATTAATCCTATGATCATCATTAGCTTGGGAACATCCATCGTGAGATGGCAGATTCGTTACACCCAAAGGATCCACTAGAAAGGTGGAGGTTGTGAGTATCCCCTGTAAGTCTGTTCTATCCTGAAATTCTGTCTCAGATTGTTCTTCAATTAGTGGCTATTTTTCAAGATTAAAGTCTTTTATGTCTCCAAGACTATCTGTTGTTAAAAGACTTAAAGCTTCTGTAAGTTTCTTGTGTTGAGCTTTTAATTCTTTTATTTCAGATTTAATTTTATTAATTTCACTTTGGAGATCTTGTAAGGTGATTTCTTTCTTTTTCTCTTTGCTAAATCTTTCCATTGTGGTGTTAATACTAATTAACTGTTTTTGATTAAAAGATTGTTTTGTGTCTTTTTTAGCAAACAAATCTCTTAATTTTTTGATATATTTGACCTTTAAGTCCGGGTCTTCAATTTTACTAATTAGATCAATAAGAATATTTTCTTCCTCATTCTGTTTGGTTATTACCCTAACAGTTTTACAGAGGCAACTATCTTTGCATCTTAGCTTGATTCTAGGTTCACTAGGATTGCTAAAGGCTGACTGATAATCTGAAAAATTTTCAGAACTGCTTGAGTCATCTAAACTTTCTTCACTGTTGGGAAGATTGTTTAACCTAAAAATATTGAGATTTTTCTTTTCATCTTCTTGGGTTAAATTCAATCTTTTGACTTATTTTTTAACTGGATAGTCTGAGCTTTTATGGCCTTTTTTGCCACAGTTATAACATTTAATATCTGAATCTTTTTTAGCTTTTTCCCCGGATTTTTTCTTAGAAGTTTTATGGTTATAAGGTTTTTTTGGGTGTTTTGCTAGATTCAACATAGTAAGTAGGTTTACTAAAAGTCTTTTTACTACGTTTGTAGTGGCTTTTAGATCGACTATAAGGCTTAGGTGATTTGGTTTTTCTGCGAGTTGGTGCTACTGAAAGGAGACCATATTGTTCACAAAAATTACTCATTTCATATTTAGCCTTTTTTCTTTTCATCTTTTAGTTGGTTTTGGATTCTCATGTCAATACACATCATAAGGTCTTCCTTTTGGATGGTACTAACAAGATTACCATAGGTTAGTGAATCATATTCAATGATTCCAGTGTCTTTACTAAGTGCTTCCCTAATTTTATGGGCAAAGAGATTAGGTAGGCCATTGACAAATTTTTCTTTCCAGAAAGATTTATTACAGTCTGGCCTAAGTATGACTTTAAAGATGAATACATCTTTGTACCATCTGAAATTACCAAGTGTTGGACACCTGAGGTTACTGAGCTGGTCATGGACTCTAGCTTCAATGTTACTGAGTGTGCCAACAAAATGTTTGATTATGGTAAAGATGAGGGTATTAATTCCATCATCTTTAGCTCTACCAATTATTTCTTTGAAAACTGGTATGCCTTCATCATCAAGAACAACAACATATTTGATATCATCTCTTGATTCTTGGGTGAGGTAGTTAGTCCACCAATTACTTAATACTCTTGTAAATTCAGAGGTGATTATGTCAACTAATTATGGTTCAGTGAGATCAAGATTTGAAACGTAGCTATTGGCTACCATAGAAAGGTGACTAATTTTGTTAAGGATTTCTTGTTTACTTAATCCATCTATATTTCATTCATAGAGTTTATTAGATTGAACAGAAAACTAATTACTAATATTTTTTTCTTCAAATTGAAGATCTGGTGGTGTTGGTCTGGTGTACCAATTTTTTGTAGTACTAGTTAGATTAACTTTTGAAAAAGTTAATTTGTTGAGCTTGAGGTTATCAAACTGTTTTTCTAATTTTTCAATTTCAGAATCAGATGAGCTTTCTGAGCTACTGGTTTTTGAATTATCAGAAGTTTGGGTTGATAACTGTTACATGAAATGGTCCAAATTTTGATTCTTGTTTAGAGATAAGTTTTTTAATCTTTTGGATTGTTTGCTTATCTTTTAATCCTAGACTGGATCTATCTTCATATATATATACATAAAAATACATATACAAGTATGTATATGCGTGTAAAGTGTAACATTGAAAGTGTAAAGTGTAAAGCATTACATTATGTCTCACCTTACTTAATGGAAAGTGTAAAATATTACATGTTAACATTGAAAGTGTAACACTTTCACACTTTCTCAATTAATTAGCATTTTTAGTGTAAGATGAGACATGTATATTCTGTTTGTGTAACACTTTAGGTAATATCTCCCCTTACCTTATGTAAATAACTTGTTACATTGTTATTGCTACACTGTCATTGTTACTTTCAATATTACCCTATAACACTTTACACTTTTCATTAAGAAATGTGAGACATATGATAATACTTTACACTTTACATTTTTAAAAATATTACACTTTACACTTTCAATGTTGCACTTTACAGGTGTATATATATATAAATATGTATATATTTATATTTATACATGTATACATATAAATACAAATACATATATATATGTATTTCTTAATATATATATGTATATATATAAATACATATATATATTAACAAATACACATGAATCAAGGTGCATTAAATACTAAAGTTCTCCTATAAAACTAAAAATATTTAATGCACCACTTTTTAAAGAACATACACATGAATCAATGGAGGACAAAAATGTCATAAAAAAATTAGGTAAATTCAAATTGTGTACTTAGATACAAATAAGAATCAAAATTAAGGACTTAATAACCCTACAATTTTTAGTGTGTATTTTTTATCTAATAAGTCTAATTTGGTGTACCCCTTATAATTTACCCAATTTTTTTCCCATAATATTGGGCCGGCCCTAACACTTTGTACAATTCGGCTTGTTAGCCCACGTAAGAGTCCAAGTCGCACGTGAGGGTGGGTATCCGATTGTACCTGCAGGGAATGACAATGTTGTGCTCACACTCTAGAAGACTCTGACCATTTGTAGCTTCAACGCGATCCTCTCACCTTTTGAACTAAGGTATGAAACACCCGACTCCACGCACCTAGGGAAAAATTAATGCCAAATATCAATCTATAGCAATGTCTAAAAATATTATATAATATTAAAAAATTTAATTGATTTTGCAATATATGTATCTTAAATAATAATTTAATTTTTGAATTATGTAATTTAAAATTAAAATAAAAAGAGATAGGTATAGATTGATGAAATTTTTGACATTGAAGAATGTATTAATTCATTTTTCTTAGAGAAGTTGATGTTTTTGAGTGGAAAAAAAATTTTAAGATGAATTTTGTATCATTAAATCAAAATAAATAAAGATTGAATCAATCTTGATTATTTTGTATTTTTATAAATTGATAATTCAATTTTTTTTTTCTGTAATATTAGATAGATAAGAAACAAACAAATAGTGGTTGAGTTGGAAAGAAATTAAGGAACTTTAAGGCCATATTTGGATTACAATAATCTTTTTTTTTTTCGGTAAATAGATTATAGTAATCTTAATTAAAATAAGATATTTATTTCCGGATTTCAATTAACACAGTAATATCATATTTTTAGTTTTTGGTCATTATCATTAATCTAGTGTGAGAATTAATATCATTTTCATGCTTTTTAAAGACAACTTAATTTTAGAAAGGAGATTGATTTTAGAAAAATAGCTTGATTTTTGGAATGAACTTAATTTTAGGAAGAAATTTCATTTTGGAATTTTATACTTTTTTTTAAATATTCGGTCAATATAAATATAAAATTATCATCATGGGGAATTTAATTACGATAGTAATTTTATTTCTTATTTTGATTACTGAATAACTTAATTGTCTAAACATACTAATCTAATATTCAAGAATGATAATCTCATTTTTCATCAAAATTACTGGTATTTAAACGGGACGTAAATTTATTGGAAAGAAATTAAACCAATCTAACCTTATCAGCAACTCCTCATGGAGCAAATGACGACTAACTCGTCCATATGCACGACCAAGCCGAACGAGATCTCCTTCGTCAATATATACAATGGTGTCTGGCCAAACATGCTCAATACACCTTTCAAGCCCAAGATCTGGAAAAAGAAACTATATAAAATCTTATAACCAAAAGTTTTTGAAAGAGGATGATCCATTATCCGATACAACTAAAACTCGATTCAACTCAATAAACTATTTATTTTTGGCTACACTGTTGGTGCATTTGGCTCCGGTCTTAACGCCTCTACTACTGTTGTGTAGCCTTTTCAAATATTTGTAGAGTCGGGTTTCTCGTTTACCCGCAACAGAGGAGCCACCCCCACCAAGCAAGAGTGGGAACGTTACAAAGGAACATGATGTGAAATGCCTGTTGTTCTCTGAGTGAAGAAGAGGTAGGGTGGATGAAAAAATGGATGAATGAAAAGTGTAAATGATACACTTCCTAACATTCAAGAGATGAATCACTCAATTCCTCTTTTGTGTTTAGCAAGAGGGATAAAAATTAGGAATAATTATTATTTTTTATTTGAAAGGATGAAAAATTGAAATGATTGAAAAAATATATATGCATATTTTATTATTGTATCTATATATGAAATTAATGTATGTATAATATGTAATAGATAAATAGATTTCAACATGCATAATTAATTCTCCATTCTTTTTTTTTTCTACCAATTTTGAAGAGAGAGATTTTGGTGAGTTAGAAAGAAGTTTAATTTATCTACTTTTTCATCATTTCAAATTTTCTTCCTTATCAAATATGATGTTTATTTTATCTTTTTAATTCTTAATTCTTCTATTTTTTCATTATACCAAACAGAACACTTGTTGAGCATGACCCTACTGGAGGTCGTATTAATGATTGGCTCTCCAAAATGAAAAATGGAGTGCAAATACCATAACCTATTAAAGATGTTGTACATCGTACTAATAGAGACATATGTTGTGAACTTAAAGTCTATAAAATAAAATAAGGCATGCTTTAATAAGTTAATCCAACAGTCTCAAGTAGAATTATCTAACGGTCATCAATATNAGTAGAGAGATTGAATATTGGGGGCTGGAAATGGATTTGAACATTGTTTTTGTTTTTTGTTTTTCCTTATTTAAACTCTATCCCACCAAACCAACCTAAAGGAGAAAATAAGCAGATTGTATATTCAGCTAACTTATGAAGATGGCATTGAATTATAAAATCTAGAGGAATGTTTTTCAAAATAATGAATGACTCATATTCACTAGCCTCGAAAGTTCAATAATTGAATAAATAAAGTACATTAAAATGGACCGACACCCATTGTTCCATCAACGATAAGTACTACTATATGCTAGGGTTCTTCAAAAATAGTTTATGTATATGACTCTTATTAGGATTAAAATTATGTGCTTGGTCAGGATTAGAGTCCGACACCTATACATACTTCTAACCCTTTTGAGATTCTCTTATAGTAAAAACAACCGCATCAAGTTTTACAATCAATTTCATCTACAATGTTAAATAAATGATCAAAATACCTTTAAATTCATCCTCCCACACGCCGTAGTTGTTTGTAAAAGGAAGATCTGGTCCAATAAGTCCAACATTTAAGCCTAGTTTGGCCGACTCGGGTGCAAGAGCAAGACCAGCAGGGCCACAACCAATTACCACCAGATCCAGCATACTATCTCCACTCGATATTTGAGGCAACTGCAAACAAGGCCAAGTACTTACATTAGTGCAGTTAGGACTCTTGAGAATGCGAATGCTTAATTTATATTAGGACGAATTGCACTTCGTACCCTAAAAGAGTACAAGATTCTCATTTTATACTCTCAAATATTAAATTTTTTTACATTGAACCCCTAATATATCACAAGTATTACAATGCGATGTAACCATTCTGTTAACTTTTCGTTAATTTTTTTGGAAGTATCAAACCATCAATGTGTTGGATTTTGATGGAAAAAATAACGGAAGTCAACAAAATTATTACATTGTAACACTTTTGATACATTGAAAGTATAATGTAAGAAATTTAATAAGTTGTTGAGGGTACAAAATATAAATTTTAAAATCTTTCAGGATACAAAGTGCAAAAAACCTTACATATTATGGTAATAATAAGTTGGAACATAGTTTGATTTTTGCAAGACTACCACAACATTAACACCTGATTCTTATTTTTTCAAGACGTTGAACTAGATCATATTAGTACTATCTATCATAATGTAAATTGTGCTAAATAATTATAACCTTATTAAAAAATATTCATTTGGAAATAATTTTTTGGTTTTAAAGCTGCAAAAATATTAATTACGTTTTTGCATTTAATTTTTGTGATTGAAAATTTTAAATTTGGATTCTAAATGTACTTAAATATACTAGGAAAATATAAATTTTTGGAACGAATGTAAAAGTAGGAATTTGGGTATAATGAATCAATCTCTATTTAATGTTATAGCTTGGAAATTTGAATTCTAAACTTATAAAACTACAACAACGGTCAAAATTAATTCAGTTTTCATTTATTTTAATCCAACGGTATAAAATTCATCCCAAAAACTTTTTCCCGTTAAAAAATACATCTTCTTTGTACATACAATCCCTAAAATAAGACAATTCAACCAATGCATTCTCGAATGCCAAATAACCTTACTAATTTAACACCTATCTCTTTATTGTTTAAAGTATAAAAATTATATGATCAATACTCAATTTTTAATATAATAGTGTGTCTTCAAATACAGAGTTATTGTTAGATGTCGTGTAAGAAATGAGGCATGTAGTAAGATTGCATAGAGGCAGAACCTAGCAAAGCAAGGCCAGTATGATTGTAGTTTGTTTTGGAGTAGCAATACTGCTCTCACCTTATCAGCGAGTTTGGACTGGTTATCCATGGCCTTATTCTGCTGCATTTGAACAAACAAGAGCTCGGATCCACCAGCCTTCAGGAAATCTTCTTCATCACCAAAACCTTGCTTACCACCACAACTTCTCTCACTTCCCACACCACAACTGCACTTGAGTTTCAAAGACAATGGACACGACCACCCGTATGTGTACGCTGTAGGCTGTGCTTTTATATCCCTCAGTACTCTCTTGTTTCTTGAGTAGTAGTACTTCACAGTAGAGCACGTATGGATCGACGACGACATAGGCCCCATGTATTTCCAAGCTCCAATACATGAATACGACATTTTCACCCTCTCTCTCCACTAAAACCTTATCTGTCGATCTCCACTACTGCTTTACTTTGAGACTTCAAAGTAGTAAACGCAGAGATAGTAAACTGCAATGACTCAACAGGTTTAGATCTCTCTCTCTCTCCTGTGTTAAAGTTTTGTGTCGGGCTTGAAAAGATCAAGTTTGCTTAAAAATGGAAAAAATATAGTTTAGACTTTAGATCTCTCTCTCATGTTTCTGTAAGATTTGTGTCAGGTCAACTTACCCATCTACACGCCATAATTCTGTTGACATTATTTTTTGAGTAATGCAAACTTTTTAGTCTTAACTCTATCTCTTCGCACATTATTATATGATTAAATTAGATTAACATTTTAAAATTTAATAATAATACTCTTATTTTTTTTAATTGCAACTTAATAAGATTATCTGGACCAGGGTGAAAAATTATAAAAACTTTTTATTAAGTTTATTAGATCCATAAAATTTTTAATTAGTAGTTAAATGTACTACTCTATCATATTTTTGTGGTCATTTAATCATTAAAAAATCATAAAACCCACATGGATGCGATGGTATTTGTTCAAAGTTCAAACATAACTATCGTAGACATAACCCCCCACATTATTTTAATAATATTTGTTAAAGTATCTTATCGACAAAAATATTTGCTAATTAATTTGTTTATGCAGCCCCATAATGTATTATATATAATGTGTATTAACCTTAACCACCGTAAGTTTTACAGCTCTTTGGTTTCCTGTAAAATAAATAAATATATATATATATATATATACTAGTTATTGTCTGTATTTAAAGACACAAAGTAATAAAAAATAAAAAATAATAAACATATTTATATTCATATCCAAAATGAAATCACAAAAATAAAAAAGAGATAAAAGAATTTAAGCATTAGTTTGTAGTGGAGGTGAGAGGTGGTGGGCGGCAGTGATGATAATAGGAGACGGTGATGGTTGTGGAAGGTAGTAATAACTGTGGCAGTAGTGGCTGCGGTGGCTGCGGCGATGGTGGTGATAGAGGTAGTAGTGAGGCGATTTCAAACATTATTTTTTTTAAAAGTATTTATGAGAAATAATTTCTAATTTTTTTTTAAAAAAATCACTTCAAACATACCCTTAAAGACTTATTTTTTCTATTAAATTTAGGATGTCAATATTAGTCGTTAGATTAACTTTAAAGTAAAATTTAAAACGATCTCAACCGCGAAAAGTAAAAATAATTTTATTTATCTTTTGAGATTTGAATTGTAAGTTACTTTATTATATAAATTTTACAGCTCCCTAAAGTAATAATTATATGTGATTTAACTTATAATCCTCTAATCAGAACATCTCATTAGCTATCATTTGCTGAAATTTTTTGAGTATTTTTATTTTTGAATAATTTTTAAGTAACTTTTATTTATATTTTTTTTTACTTTTTTCTTATTGGGATTTCTCCCTTTGTTTAATTTTAATCACCTACCATACACACTATCTATATCTATCTATATAATAAAGTAGCTAGCTTAATTTGTCTTAATATTTAGAAAGCAAGTCCTACAAGCTTTACTCAAACTAGACAAGCTCAGCTCGTTTATGGGCAAATACTCGGGGTTGGCTCGAGCTCGACTCATTTCCTAAACGAGCTGAACTTGAAAAATTTTTAAATCTCGATTAAGAAACAAGCTTTTCAAGCTCGACTCAAACTCGACTCGGACTCGTTCGACTAACAGTCCTAGATGGAGACTTACTAGGTTGTATGGAGAACACTTAGCTACTTGGGGAGAGCTGAGTGAGCTGTTTGAGGGGGATAAAATGGAAAAGGATTCGGTGGGAAGAGAAAGGAGAAAGAGAAGTTAGAGAGAGAAAGTATAGAATTTGCATTTTTGGATTTTTTTAGGGACTACTTCGAGCACTAAGAGGTATACTCACAGCCTAATATGGATGTTAGAAACTGATATGTGTAATTAGATTTTGACTTGGTTTAATATTAATGCATGAATTTGTGTTTTAAAGTTTAGTGGATTTTTGAATTTTGAAATGGGTTTGAGATTTGAGCTTGATTTGAGTTAATTGTTTGGTATGACTGAGTTTGGGAGGTCTTGAGGAGTTGTTTAGTGGTGGTGTGGTGGTTTGCCGTGGTGTGTGGTGGTGTAATGGTAGTATGAGAGTTTAAAGAAGTAAAAATGTGATTTTGATCAAAACTTATTTAAGCTTCGAAATGGGGCTTGAGTTAAGCTAATTTGGGGTCAAGGAATCCATTTTTGATCTTCGAATTGGATTTAGAGGTCATTTTGGGGGTGAAATAAGCAGTTGCAGGTCTGCCCTTGTGTTTTAAAAAAATAGTTGTTGACCAACTTTGACCAATAATTTGATAATTTTAGAATTCAACTCAAAAGTTGAGTCTAAGAGGGATTGATACTAAGTTATCCAAGGAGTATGTGGATGTTAAAATCAAAGGATATGGTGTACTATAGTGGGAGAACCAGGTGGTCAAAGTAGGGTAATGGAGCAAAAATTTCTGCACTTAGGGCAAAAGTCAAATAAACTAAGGTTGAAGATGAAGTGGGGTGGGGGATACCAGTGGACTCTGACGGAAATTTTGGCTTCATCTGAGCTCTGGATTATTCCAAAAGCTCCGTAACATTCATGCGGAGGTCCCGGTAAAATTTTAAGTCGATCTGACGGCCGGATCAAAATGAAGAGTAAAATGACTGTTTTGCCCTATGGAGTCAAATTGACCTAATTTTGAGTGATTTTGAGAAAATAAATTATTTATTAATTATTAGGTAGGTTAATTGAGTATGTATATTAAGTTTTATCGAAAAATAACGTTGTTTAAAATATTTGATAGTGTGTTTTGAATATTGACTTGGATCTGGACCCGGATGTTTTTGAGTGCTGGTTGCACTAATGTTTTGGAAATGATAGTATTGCTTGAATTATTCGTATTGAATGAAACTCTGGGATACTTTTTATGGAAATATAAGTGCACACAGGTCGAGTGGAAAAAGGGTTACATTCTAATTTGAGGCCATAGAAGGTACTCATTGAGTTTGTAAATGCCTGAGCGGCCCTGTTGATCTTCGGACTTGGGTACTGAATTGGATCGTATTGATTTGGGAGCGTATCTTCCTTGGGGTGAAAGTCTTCTAAATTATTGGATCGTATGTTTGTATGGATCCTTAGTGGTCTATTAGGATGAATTGCCCCACCAGTGTAGCACTGTACTTGAATTTCTCAACTCTCTTTTATAGTTTTATTTAACTGTTACAGTTTCACATGAAATGACATTTTTGTTGACATATATGTATCAAATGCTCGTTCGGATTCTTGCCCAATCATACTAAATTATACTATTTTCAAACTTGTTTGCTTGAAAATTGAGTTACTCTACTGAACTATTGATTCTCACCCTACGTTACTTTTCCTTTTTCAAATGTGAAAAAGTTGGAAGATGTGTACATAATAACCTACCAAGGTTTTTGTATATTTTAGGAAGTTGTATCAAAAGTTTGTAGTAGAATAAAAGAAAACCTAATGTGTAACGTATACTTAATTGAGTAGTAGGTTGTAATAGTTCGAAATATGTTAGTTTAAAAGTTTTGCATATGTTTATACAATAATATATGGTTTGTAAATTGTGGTTTATTATGCTATGCTACGTGACTTCTCAGTATTAAAACGTTCCGTGGTTTAAAGCAACATATGTCACATGCCGAGCCGATTCGGGGTGTGAAAACNAATAGTTCGAAATATGTTAGTTTAAAAGTTTTGCATATGTTTATACAATAATATATGATTTGTAAATTGTGGTTTATTATGCTATGCTACGTGACTTCTCAGTATTAAAACGTTCCGTGGATTAAAGCAACACATGTCACATGCCGAGCCGATTCGGGGTGTGAAAACCCAATAAAAAGAGTAACTTCAATTATAGTTTGCAACCCTTTAGTTTTATTAATTATAGATATGCCACAAAGTTTAATATTAATTATGTTTTCATCCACAAAACTTTACATTGTTTCTACTTGTTAAATTCAATATTTCTATTAGAAAATTCGGGATCTCACAATCTATCCCCTTAAAAGAATTTCATCCTCGAAATTTCTTTAGCTACTAATTTCCACATCATCTATGATTTAAACATATATAACATATTATAAATTAAGGGGACCTTCATATAATTATCTAAAAGCTAGATTCTCATCATCTCCAAATGTCCAGCACTAGCACCACCACCTTTCTTTTCAAATTACTTAGTTTTTAATTCAAAGATCTAATACTATCAATCTCAACGGAAAACATAGTCCACTCATTTCCACAAATCTCATATAAGATCTAAAGCCTAAGCTCTAATACAAAAAAATTTGTAACACCCTAATCCATTTAGCAATAATCAGAGTGTTAATTACCTCAATAACGAATATACTAAATCTTCATTAAATATAAGAATCACTAAACACCTCAAAAATGAATAAATAACTTTTCGATAAGTGTTTAAATTACAATCAATTGAAAATTTTCATTCATTGATCAATCCGATTCTCCACCAAATTTTACTCCAAATTCAACTTGCAACTGAGAGGGCAAATGAGGGTGAGCTGGGGAAAGCTCAGTAAGTAATTTAAAACATAATATACGAAGTCAAAAGGAAAGACGATAATTTATCAACTANATCCGATTCTCCACCAAATTTTACTCCAAATTCAACTTGCAACTGAGAGGGCAAATGAGGGTGAGCTGGGGAAAGCTCAGTAAGTAATTTAAAACATAATATACGAAGTCAAAAGGATTGATAATCGTTTGATGACATAAGAATTAATACGATAATTTACGGAATACAAATATATTGAACAAGTCAACGAACTCGAACATTTGAACAATCAAATCAACCATGATTGAACTCTCGGTCAATCTCGGCAACAAGCTAGGCATCATTCGGTGCATTTTAGTTCAATCATGTC